CAAACTTTTAACATTCCCGCCAAACCATCTAGCCTTATCTCCAAGCCATATCACTAATCCTTATCACAAATCCTAAACTATCGTCTTACAACCTTTGCGACTTTTATAATTCATTGTCTCCAAAATCGGTACCCACTCCCAGCGAGTCCAACGGGCCCCGAATTACACTTAGAGCTAGTTTTGTTTTAAAATAATAATAATAATTAATAAATTAAAGACAAATTAAATATATTAAGCAATAACGTTTATTTAATTTTAAATAAAAGTAAGTAACAAAAAATAAAATACAGATTATAGTAAAAAAAAAAAATAATTGAATTTAAAAAACTAATCTTAAATATATAATACGTTCACTTATTAATAATTATACTTATTAATATTACAAAATTATGTTATAATTTGCATAATATTATTATATTAATGTATTAACATATACAAGGTGATTCTTTTATCATGAACCATTCATGATTTCAAAAACATTAATACTTTTTGAAATCATGAGTGGTTCATGATAAAAGAATCATCTTGTATTGTAAACTCAACCTATTAGAATTAGGGAAAATGTGAAAATTTCAATTTATACTTCTCTTTCACATGCATTTCACCGTACTTTTAATTTATCCTTAATATAATAATATATATAAAAATAAAAATGAATAACTTTTTTTAATAAAATTAACATTTAGGTAAAACTTATATTTAATATTTAAAACTGTAGCAATTAATAAAGCATTAAATAATATTAACAAAGAACAACTATTGGCCTTTGAATAAGGTTAATTTATTGTAAAAAGTTCTTAATGAAACTACTTCGTTTTGTTTTCTGCATAGATATTTAATTTTTATGTCATAATAAGTTGAAATTACTGACTTAATTAGAAGAATAACATGATTAGAAAAAGGTCCATTTTCTATATTATGATAATTTATTGAAGAAAAAATATTTTTGTCATTAATGAAGGAAGCCAGAATTTTATTTTTAATAAATAATGAATTATTTGGTTTATGTTTTTGGTAATGTAATTTTATAAATTTTTCTACAACTAAACATATTTCAATAACATCAGTACTTGGGTATGTAAGACCACCTTTATCTTTTAAAGAAATTAAAGATAATAAAAAGTTTTCTTTGGTCCCAAAAAGAGCTTGTGTACATACATCACATTTTATTTGTGAAGCTAACTTATGAGAAACAAAACCAGCTATGTATAAAGACACTTCTTTGGAGAATGAACTTAAATGGAGATGAGTTCCATGTGTTTCAACTGTAAAAGTCTCTGGATCTAATTCAATATCATTATAAAGGGAAGCATTTGTATCATTTATGGCTTGGATTGGATTTTTAGATACACTAGAACAGTTTAGAATTGGGATATCTAAAAGAGAAATACAATATCCAAGACCGCTGACCGCTGTCTTTTATTTGTGCTTGAACTAATAATTTTTTGTAAGCAGATCTAAATTGCATGGATGTTGGATTGTTGTTGTGACCCCCCTGAGACCTAACACTACCGAAAAATATTTCAAGGTGGTCTTGACTTAGTTTATATGACGGTATAAATTTTAAATTATTTGTATCAATGAATTTTTTTTTTAAGTTAATAAGGGAATGAAAACATACTATAAAACCTAAAAAGCCAGTTGATCTTTGTGATTTTAAAATTGGTTGATCGGTGCTTAATTTTAAGTTATGAACATAATAAATGAACTTTTTACTAAAATCAAGTATATTTTCATAATTATCATTATTGATAGCTCCTTTGAAGCCATATGGAATCAATGTTCTCGAATTCAAAATATCAAAAGCATCGTTAAAGAGTTTTATAAAATTGACAGTAGCAGTACAGTTTTCAAAATCTTTAAGTTTAAGTACATCTTTACAAAATATTAATGAATTTGCAACTGATAAAGAAAGAAGCTGTGTTGTTAATTTAACCTTCATTTTTTTTTTTGAAAAAAAAAACATGCTCTTTTTTTAATTTATTAGCTAAATAACATTGTTCTTTATCTTGTAATATCAAAAGTAATTCAATATATTTAAAACTAATTATTTTGTTATTACAATCAATAAGCTCTCTCTTTTCACCAAATGTGTTCCTAACAAGTTTTATCATAATATGAGCGGGATCAAGCATGATGGAAACATCTGTATTATTAGAATTACTAAAGCTAGTTTTCATGCAAAATTGATTAGGATCTAAACAACAACCAAGGGCACGAGCCATGCTTAAATTTACAGCACAGCCATCAAACGTTACGCTAACAATAGTTACACCAGTATCACTTAAAATATTAATGCATCTGCGTACAAGATTTGTTTTTTGATCGCTATTTAAATGGTTACACAAAAAATAACCTACAGGTAGCTTCCAAGAAAAATTTATTGCGACAACCATAAATACTAAACATTCTGTGGCACTATCACTTTGTATTTCTGATCCAAAGTCAACAAAACCAAAGTATTTATCATTGTTGAAATCTAAATGTTTTCATCCATCATTAAAGCGCAGTAAATAGGCGTTGAAGTATTTTTGCAAGCTAATTCTAATGTGTTTAGTGCTTCTTTGGTGAAGCCTGGTTCAGCGTTTACATGTGTATACCACTTACTTAAAGTGCGCGGACAAGGCTTTTGGAGAGTAAAAGTTTAAGGTAACAGCAAATTTCCGAAGCTCCAAGCTATACTTTTTTGGAATTTTTCTACCAGCATTTTTTTTGCAAAAATTATTGATAAGATCTCTTTGTTTACCAAAGTTACTATCCAATAACATACCTTGTTCTTCAGAAATCAATGATTTATTTTTCAAAACCTTAATAACACCTAAAAGTTAACAAAATATTAAATACTGAATATTTATTTGTACTGATTTATTACCTCGGAGAGAAACAATTCGATGCTTTTGTCTCCTCACTTTTTGGGACAAGATTTTAATTTTCATATTTTTGTTCTTATTCTCCTTAGACAACATAGCAACAGATTGTCTTAGCAATTTTTTCCTAGGTGTGTCTTCATCTTTAGAGGTCATAATAGATTCAACTACTAATTTAATAGAATCCATCTAAACAACAAAATGTCAGAATATAATATTACAAATATTTTTGATTGGTTTTTTTTTATTTACCTTTGGTTTATTCACAGTATAAGCTTCTTTACTAGTAGATGGTTCACTATACACTAATTCTAATTCTGGTTCATCAGGTAATGGAGAGACTCCTTGAAGACATACACCATGGTTCTGTAAAATAGACAATCATTAAATTATTTTAAAAAATAATATAGGGGATAGGAAATAAAATACCAATGCAGTTTAGTAAAATCCTTTTTTAAAATTCAATACATACACTGTAATTTGTCAATTGTTTCAAGACTTCAGGAACAGCTTTTTTAGCCTAGTATAAATAAAAATACAGTTAAAAATATGTAATTTAATTATTAAATATAGGAAAAGACAAATTTAATTTTAAAAAACTCAGCTTACATATTTTAAACGGTTAACAACAATTGAGGGAACAGCATTCTCATGTAATGTTTTGTTCCTGAGATACTTCATAAAATCATCAGGTTTAAAATGTTCAGAACAAATAGCTGATGTCAATTTCATTGTTGAAATATCTTTACCGCATTCTTTGAAAAATTCTAACCACTGCTCACGAATACCATCTTTTTTGGAAATTCTAAAAATAAAATGAATTATACTTAGTTATTAATAGGGATTAAATATTGGAGAATTATTAATATATAATTATGAGCTAAAGAGATGCATATATGAAAACCGACGTACCGATGAAAGCTAATGTTTCCTTTCTTCGATTCAGCATTTCTCGTACGTGAACAAAGAAAACAACTCGGCATTATGGTAAGACCAAAATTTAAGCAAACAAATAAACACGTTATTTAAAATGAAAAAATTTTCAAAATAAAATCACTAAGACACGTTAAAAAACAATGATCGGCAATCGTTGTCAATGTTGTTGTTGTCATAACTTCAAATAATATTTTATTGTTTTTTTAATTTTGTTATCAGTTATCATGAATATAAAAGCACGATAATATATTGTAATGTTTTTTTTTTTCAAACTGGAAACACTGTATTTTGTCTTTCTGATTGCTTCGTATTGCAACGGCTGTCGGCTATAGCGTCCCCCTGGGCTGAGGGCTGAGGCCTGAGTGCTGACGAGTGACGACGAGACGAATAGACAATAGTGTCTTCTGCATGTGCATCAGGACAGCCCGACAGCGTAACGCCGTGTCCTACGCGAATCTGGATTCTACTAAGATCCCACCCACCACTACAGTACTATGAATTGTACTGTATTATAATATATATTTAAATAGAAAAGAAATATACACCCTACCCGTCGCAGTAGCGAGGCCTTACTGATTAATGATTATTAAATATTAATAGCTCGGCTCAGTGGTTAAGTGGTTTTATTGTAGCAACAATTTCCACCTCTTAAAAATTAATAAACACGCCTCCCGAATAAAATGTATAACAAATGGTAGTGGTAATAAGTGGTATGGGAAAAACACTTACATCTATTACGATACTTGTGGCGAATATATTGTGAAAAAAAAGCATTAGCCGTTTTATAAGGTTGTTCATTTTATTCCGGTACCAGCATATGATATTGAAAACAAATTGTCCGACGTTTTGTTACAAGTTATAAATATTACTGCAAAACGCGCTTGTAGAATTAATTTTGTGAAAATAAACGTTAAACTCGCTTTATGTAGCGCCATATGCCGGAGCATTGTTCAATTATTCTCCGAAACCCATATGGATTTGTAACAATAGCAATATAATACAATGCGTTGTGTTGCGCCGTTGTCGAAACGAGTTTTTAAGAGGGTGTATGCTCCCTAACACAGCTGCTAACACCACCATCACCACTATTACATAAAATCGTTTCAGTTCAAAAGGCGTTGTTGCTGTTACAGTGGTAGTTTGTATGTTTGCGTCGTACTGTACGTACAGTTTAACAGATAAACAATTTGTTCAAATATGCATTTCAAAGTATTAGTCGCGTACGTTCTCCGACAACACATTGCCGTGGCTTTTGGCAAACGTGTTACGGACGTATCGCCTCACGATTTCTATCGATATGTCGACGAGCGTTTGCGAGCTCGACGCTTTGGTTTGTGCAACGCAGTCGGCGACATATTTGACATTTTGTTTCAACAGATGCCGAAATCGAATTCACTTGTCGACATGGTCAGCGCTTGGATACGGAAAACGGATCCGCTCGTGAACGTAAGTATTGGGTGTGTGTATTTTGGTTCTAAAAAATATATCTGTTTTTTTGTTAATTTCGCATTACAGATACTGTTCAACGACGATGCTAAACAGAAATTTAAACCTTTCAAATTCGGACGCGCCGATTTCGACAACTATAATTTAAAATTGTCAGATTGGCCGTTTTACAACGTTATCGCAACAGCCGAACACGGCGTACCGTGTCCAACAATCGATCCAGAGTCGAAAACTCTAGAGGATATTTTTCGCGTATTTCGACTCTTCGATTCGCCCGAACATCCAGCCGAAAAAATTAAAATCAACAGTATGCGCGATGTACAACGACGACGACAACAACAACAACAACAACAACGACGACGACGTGTAGAACGACGAGCGGTTACAACAGATGCCGCCGTAGTGGAAAATGTTGTTGTTGGTGCCGAGCGCTCAAACAATAGTGTCTGCGATGCTGGCGCCGGTTCGTCACGACAGTCATCACCGCCATCATCTCCGGTACAAATGCTGTGGGAACAGTCGCCGCCATCGACGACGTTCATACCGGTACCGGCAGTGTCGGAACCGCAATTGCCGCCGCCGCCGTCCAGTAAACCTGTTGTCGAGTATGTTGTCGGGCAAGCCGTAAACGTCAAGAGTCCCGGGTATACAACAACATCAAAAGCGACTATGGTTCCGGACGCGTTACAACAAACTCAATTGGTTACCGACATGCGTTCGCCGACTGTTGAAAGCGATTCGGGCGACTATCATCAGATACGGATTGTAAAATTAACTAAAAATGCGGTGTTTCCCACAAAATCTACACCGTTGTCCGCGGGATATGATTTGTATTCAGCGAGACGATATTTAGTGCCTGCTCACGGTAAGCAGCTGATCGACACGGATTTGCAAATTGCATTACCCGAGGGAACTTATGGTCGAATCGCACCAACGTCGAAACTATCGTGGAAAAACCACACGAGCGTATCTGCCGGCGTAATAGACGCAGACTATCGCGGTAACGTGCGCGTCGTGTTGTTCAATCACGGACCCAATTCGTTCATGGTTGAACCCGGGGAAAAGGTAGCGCAGCTGATTTGCGAAAAGTTGGCATGGCCAATTGGCGTCATCGAGTGCTCGGATTTGGATTCCACAGTTCGTGGAAACCGCGGTGTCAAACGTAGTGCTGACGACACTTATAGTACATATTTTTATGATTTGATTACGTCGATTTCTCTATAACGTGTATATTATGTTTTTTTCAAATATAAATTGCTTATAAATAATTGTATGTATTTTTTTATGAACGCCCGTAAAAATAGACTATTCTTGACGTTTTCGACAATGGCTATTGCTATATTTAAATATTGTACGAAAACGTCTCCAATTAACGTGCACGTAGTGCATTTGTACCGGTACGGAAAACCAACAAGCGACATTGTGGTTAATTTTTCCGATGTTGTTCAATGCGTTGGGCAATTTGATGTAAAAACATTTTTGGACGGCAACAGTAATTCCGACAGTTGTGATTTCGAAAATCGTCCATTCGTTCACTGGTCCGAGCTGTTTGACGTTATACCGAAATCGGTAAATTGGCCCGAGGATACAGTGTTTGTAAAAATACAAACGCTAATTTCTTTACAAGATGCGTTCAAAAACGACACTAGATATTGCACGTTTGTCGATTGGTTAAACGCCTCGATACTCTCGTGGATCCGGACCGATAACTGTGATCCGTGTAAGTAGAAAGTTATAAAACGCGTCGACGGTTACGGTGGTACCGCCAATGCTTGTACGATTGAGGGCCGTTCTTACAATGTCCGGTAAAGTGTCGGTTAACGCTAACCGACTGATAACAGATTTTTTTTCCGGCAGAATTCTTCCGGTTAAGTGTCGGTTAACTTTAACCGGACGTCGTAAGAACGGCCCTGAGTGTCGATTACCGACACAACATGAATTCTCGCACGAAACTTTTGTGCAACTCGGACACTATACTCAAAACTTCGAGTACCGACCCAGTAGAATGAGATGTGTTGATTGGGAAAGGTCGCAATCTAATTTTAATGACAAAAAATATGTTACGGAATACACGAATCGAGCGATTGGCGTATAGCTTCGTAACGATGTCGTCGAATATTTTTGCGAATAAAACTAGCTATAAACATTGACACGTGATATTTCGGAGACCACTTCTCAAGGTATTCATCGTCACTTTTTACATCTTCAAAATCTTCAAAGTCCGAAATCGTTTCAAAACACTCTAAAGAATCGCTAAACTCTGACGGACGACCTGCGTCGGACTCTTCGGACATGATACCGATATCTATATATAAGCGTGGGTATTAAATTAAGAAACACATTCGGTTGTCCGATTCCCCAAGGTGTGTGTGTTGCGAATATTGATTCGAATTCAAATTATTGAATTTGCGTCGGCAATTATAAATTTGACACCTAGATACACGAGTAACGCAGCCATTCAATACTACAAAATGTACCATATTGTGCGGAACGTACCAGACGATAAAAATTTTTGGTTTTACGTTTATATATCGAAAAAATTGAAATGTTTCCGGTGGTTCTTACGAGATATCGTTAAATACAGTGCGTTTGACGTAGAATTGGATATGCGGTTGGTGTATCAATGCAGAGTTATGGGCGGCGCTACAGATCACGGGCACGCGGCTTGGAACGAGTACCTTAAGGGTTCATCGTTGGTGTACGGCATTCGCACAGATTTCAAGCTGAACAATGTCGAATATCTGAACAAGTTGGCGTATTTGGTAGCGTTAAAACGCATCACGTCGATCGACCGCAGCTTTGTGTACGGAACAAAATTGAATTTTTTAGATCTCGCCACGGGCTCGACGCATCGGTCTTTTGAACAGCCGTCGAGAAATGCTGTTCGTGCTGATATCGTACGACATTGTAACATTGCTGGCACGCTTTTCACTCGACTGTAAATTGTATTATAAAATATTCATAACATTTATATATTTATTATATGTATCCAAATAGTATATTCATTGTTTTTTTTGTTGTAAATAAATAATTATTTTTTGTACAATCGATCATTGTTGTTTTTTTTCGATGTCACTGTTGAAGACATTTCAAAGTCTTTTCAAAATGTTCGGCTGTGATGCGATCGAATTGGCCGGCCAATTCTTTGACGTCTGCCCGTACGTATTTGCGCGTACTCGTAACGTTCCGGTGTTGCAGATAATTTTGAACTGCTATTAAATTCGGAGCCGTGTCGTACATTATACTTGCGACGGTAGTTCTGTTACCGTGTACACCGAACCCCATGGGTAATTTTCGACCCGTAGCGTTTAGAAACGTAGCGTTCATGCGATTGACCAAGGTTTTGGGTGTCACCAAGAACAATCGAACGTCCGTTTTTGAAGTGGTAAACGCTTCGAATTCTATGGCGTACAATTGTTTCAGTTTAGAGATGAAATTCACCAAGTGCGCATTGTACACGGGTTTCCAGAGCACGTCCTGTTTGTTGCGCAGTGTGTTTTTCCGTCTGACGTCCCGGTGCAACTCGTTTGCGCACAATCCAAATTGTTTACCTGGATATCGATGACTCGTTTGCGCACAACGAATACCGTCGTTAACCTAAAAACGGACGACTCGTTTGCGCACAACATAAACACTGCATAACATATATTTTATATTTTTAAATTTGGACTAACTTAAGTAATTGATTATCAGTACATCAGCATATCAATATTCAATATATCATTATTATCATTGAAAATAATCGACGTGTATTAAACATAATATTTTTAAGCAGTCGTTCTCCAGAAAGCGGTACTACCTACTGACTAGTGACTATGGATATCGAAATTTGTGATATTTTTGAAAGAGAATTTCGAACTTTAAAATCTAGTGATACAAATTTTAGGTGTACAAATAAAAAATGTTCCTTGAGTGATGTAGTAAGGTTAGTTAATAATAAAAAAATATAAAATTTTAAAAATTAAAAACACGCATAGAACCACTATTACTTCTTATTAATTGTATAATTATATATTTATTCAGAACAGACACACACGACATGCACATTTTTAATCTGTACAAAACAGATGGTCCTAAGCCTATATTAAAGTGAGAAGAGAAATGTGCTGTTCTGCTCAAAGTGAAATGTGCGCAAATGAGTTATACCTTAATTATAATTTAAACCCAAAATATGTGTGCGCAAACGAGTTGTACCTTTATAATTTAAACCCAAAATATGTGTGCGCAAACGAGTTGTGATTTTGTGCGCAAACGTGCCGTAAAAAAGGTAAATGTGCGCAAACGAGTCGCACCCTAAAGAACAGCTTCAATACATAATATAAAGAAACCTATTTAGTAAGTAACCCTAACGACAAATTATGACTAATTAAATATTGATACTTTATATTTTGCACTTAAATTTTTACAGGCATTACTATACGGGTTGAATCGGATATTTTAAATGCTGCCTACGGTTCTCCAAAATTACGTGCCATTTTAATTTTTGCTAAAATGAGCTGTCAAATTAACCATGAAAAAAATGTAATAATAATAATAATAATAATATTAATTATTATTATTTAACTATTGAGTATTTAAAAACTAAACTCTTGTGATATAACCAGGGGTTAAAATGGGGGGGCAGTCCCTCTACCTCTGACGGTGGTTAAAAAGCGTCCCATTTAACAAATTGTACAAACATAAAATTTTACATGGAACGAACGCTTAAAATTATATGGAGACATTAGTCCCCTCTGGAATTTTTTTCCACTTTAACCCCTGGATATAACTGTCGTAGAGCGGTAGCTTGTAATACTAAACATATTATACAATATTTAATATATACACAGAATATCATATCTATATAAAATCATTAAATTGTTGATACATTTAATAAACTAATAAAAAAAGTACATAATAATTGTAATATTTATCAAAACTATTGTTACATGACATAACTATTTTTCATCTATTTTTATTCTTTTTTGAACAAAACTGTGCCTAATCATTTAATACAGGTAATCATTACAACGAAATAGATAGAAAGAAAAAAAGTTAAACTTAACACCTACTCAAATTGTATATGATATAATCAAAAGATTAAGAACATAAAATAATTTGTCACACTGATGAATTTGTATGACATAAATTTTGACTGTAAATATATTATTTCGAGTAGAACATATAGGTAAGTACCTATAACTAGAGATACCTACTAAAAGATACAGTGATTATAGAAAAATTACAACAATGAAAATAAAACATATAGCTGGGACGATGACATAATATATGTAGGTACGTGATTTATATTAGATTTAACGAATTATTAATGTATTTTTTTACATTTTTATGTTGTGTTTATTATGTATAATATTATTATGAATTTTTTTCCTTTTTTTATTAAACTTGTGGTTTTAGGTATAATATATTATGTATTAGCACTATTATTATTGGCATTTTAAAACCGAACTCCACAAGAAGAAAATAGAAAAAATCACTGATTCTCGACTATAAGTAACGCCTATATGAGTTCTAATATTTACTACAGTAACCATAGGTGGTCTTAGGACTTGGGTTTTGAAAGAAATGTAATCTCGTACAAATTTTAAACATATTATAACGAGCCGCCGAGCCGGGGCTTCCGTCGGTAAACTATTTAACTAAAAGCAGGTTTTTAATAAATCTGGATTATCGAATCAATCCTAAGTGCACCTATCGTTCTATAACTAATTTTAACTACGTTGAGTAATATTAATGCTCAAGTAAAACACAATTTAACTACAACCATACCTTTAGCATAACTTCGACCAGCTGCAGCCACATCTTAATATTGGATGACTTCGCGCTTGAAACTTTGAGTACGTAAGTACTAAGTTCTGTGTCGGCAGCCATTTTAAGTCGTGGATAAAAATCAAATTAATTGAAAACGCTACTTTACTTTACTTCAATTTAATTTAAACACTATGATATAAAAACCAAAGTTAAAAACTTATATTCGATAAAGTTATTAAAAAAATTCACTGTCTAAGTATATTACAATATAAATTAACTAATACATTTTATTCGGTTAAACATTTACAAAGTGTTTAACGTCGTCAAAAATAAACAACAACCAGCTTCCTATAAAAATAATAATAATAATAATAATAATAATAATAATAATAATATTTATAGCCAGCACAGTATTAAATATTTACACATAATATTATAATAATATGTTTATTTAGATAATAGCCAACACAGTATAATATAAATTTATATACGACATAGAACTTATACATCATCATAATAATAATAATATAATAGTTACAAACTACAGTTTATACTGATTAACAATTTAAAAAACGGGGGACGGAGTGGCCGAGCGGACTGAGGCGTCGGCTGCGACGCAGACAACGCTGGTTCGAAACCTCGGTCGCGGGCGGCATTTTTCTTCGGAAAAGTCACGGTGTCCGGAGAATAAGTATCACCATCCCCAGATACCTACGGGTGACCAAATCAAAAATTCTGCCAAAACAAACACACAAGTATTCCTCCCCCTACCAACTAAAACCTTCAAATAAAACAGAAATAGCTAATGGTCTGGTAAAGGGTACATTGCAGAACGCGGACACTTCGTACGGTCGAGTGAAAATTTTAATTTTAATTTTTAGAACTCCCACACTTTTTATTATTATATACATAAAGTATATAATATTATTATTAATTTAAGCTATATGCCTAATATTAGCAGTATAATATATAATATTAATTATTAAAATAGAGAATTTAAAAATAAAAACTAAATTGTTATATAATATTGTTTATTAATAATAATCAAAATGATTAAGCAATCAATAATATGATTATAAATCTTAATTGTATTATATTATCAAAAGTTATGTTTAAGTAAATTCAAAAGTGTACAATATAAATATGTCAAAATGACAAATAAAATATAATATTGAAAAAATCTTTTAAAACTACATGTTGTATACTATAATATGGAAATATCTCAAAATTTCAGGTTTGGTATGCAAGCACGAATAATAATAAGCAGTTGGTTTTCGATCGTCACTTCTAATGCTTCCAACCTGTTCAACATAGGGAAAGCACCATACTGATGAGGAGGTCGTAATAATTGTTTAGTATATAAACAAACGTGAAGTTTTCTTCAAAATTTGGTGTAGCTAACTCAAAATCAAATAACCGCAGATGGTAATATTATTACTTGAAATTTTTACCTACCAAATATTCACATAAGCATATTCTGTACATAACGAAAATTGTCAAAATATTTTCAAATTTTTGAGCTATAAGAGACATTTTATCGAAATTTTTCGATTTTTTTTTTTTCGTTAAATGTCGAAAAAAACAAAAGTATAACTTCAGTACAATAATATTATAGTCACGATGTTCACAAGCCACATAAATTAATTTTCCACTAGCGTGTTGACGCATTCTTTATAATAACAAATAATTTATTAATACTTAATAAAAACATATTAAATAGATAACAATAAACGTTTATTTGTGTAATTCATAGTTATGCAATACATTTGCAAAAAGCATAAAAATCCTATATTCTAGGTACCTATACATTTTTATATTATAGTATTATACAAGTTACGTATTTTTATTTAATTACAAGTTACATACAGTTACATTTTTTAAAATTATATACAAATGACAAATTACACTTATTATTTAGGTATTCAGCCGATGTCCGGCTTTTCCGCAGGGCCGCTGACGTTATTATCGTCATTAGCTGACAGAGTTATTGTCACCACCGTCGAGGAGTTCCTCAGCTCGGTGTACACGTTTATCAAAAGTTGTTCTGCCGTAGGCTGTAATAAAATATAATAACAATATAAAATATCCAGACTGAAAAAACCGTCTCCGCTCAGAATCTTTTTTCGTGTATAATGATATGATTTCATTGAATTCAAATTTAATACAACCCATTATACAGTTACCAACTTGT